ATGAAAAGCTATTTAACCATTTCCCAGTGTAGCAAGTCCTTGATGAATGTATCTTCAGGAAACAATACTCTGGTATAATAAAGATGGCAACCAAAGTGTCAAAAACAAAGCTGAATCCTATACAGCAGCCTGGTGAAGCATGAGAAGGACTCATCAGCAATACAAGTATTAATTGCTCATAAGCATCAGTATTAGAGTTGGGACAAAATCACCTCCCTTCACAGCTTCTACTTATTTCTTCTGTTAAGTATTTAAAGCTGGCACTAAGAAAATTGCAAAAAAAATTTTTTTTTAATATTTTCAGAGCCAGAAAAATAGAACAGGGGTTAAAACACTTGCCGTGGATGTGGCCAACCTAGGTAGATTCCCGGTACCACAGACGGTCCCCTGAGTATCTGAGCACCACCAGGAATGATCCCTGAACACAGAGCCAAAAGTGCAGAGCACAGCCAGGTGTGTCCCAAAAACTAACAAGCTAACAAAATAATATTTTCAGATTCTATAGGTTTCTTGGCAGTACACTTAAACTTGTCCCAAGAATGGCCAGAGCCCCCTTTTAAGAACTTGTAGTTTACATATTCCCCATAATAAATCTGCAGTTAGAGAATAAATAGCTTCCATTCCAAGGATACAAAAAAGGAGAGCTCTAAGTGACCGCTCCAAGGTCACATAATAAAGTAGAAAACAGTAACAAAAAGTTAAGTTCATTATTCTTACAGAGTTCATTAGACACACAAAGAGACAAAAAAAAAAATCATTAGGATTGATTAGGAATTGCATTGAGCTGCTGGTTCTAGAAATCTAAGGTAACAATGAACAAGACTGTTGGTCCTCAAACATGAGAGGAAAGTAACCAAAACCTCACATGATGACTGTACCATCAGGCAATCCATCTATGATTAGTTGTCTCTGCTTTCTTGCTCCACCATTCCCAGCCTAGGACTCCATCCCTCAGGTGATCTCATGACCCAGGTGACTGCAGTGAGCTACTGGTCAGAGGTTTTCATGCCCACGTGTGAGTCTAATGAGAATTCTAGCTCCATTCCCCCAGAAAATAAAAGAATGAAACCTTTAGCAAACAACATAGGATATTTGGGGGGGAAGGGGGGGGGGTAGAAGTATCTTTAGGACCCTGAAAAAGGGAAAGCATCTTTAGTCAAGGGTGACAGATAGGTCAGGGAAAAGAAACACTGACTACAATGAAAAGGATTCATAAGTATACCTACAAGGAAATATAATTTTTACATCAAATGAAACCTTACAGAAATTTTCAAAAAATAAGTCGAGAGTCTTGCACACAGCGACCAACCTGGTTTGATCCCCTACATCCCATACAGTCTTCCGAACAACACCAGGAGCAATTCCTGAGTGCAGAATCAGGAATGACCCATGAGCAATGCTATGTCTGACCCAAAAACTGAGGGGAAAAATAACCATTGAGGGCTAGAGAGCTAACTCAACAGGTTGAGTGCATGTCTGCGTGTGGGCAACCTGGGTTCAGTCTCCAGCACCACACGGTCTCCTGAGCACCACTTGGAGTGACTCCTCAGCAGAGAGCCAGGAGTAGAGCCAAAGCACCAGCAGATATCACCAAAACAAAAAAACAAACTTTTTTAAAGGGCTGGAGCGATAGCACAGCGGGTAGGGCTTTCGCCTTACAAGCGGACAACATGGCTGACCCGAGTTCGATTCCTCCGCCCCTCTCGGAGAGCCCGGCAAGCTACCAAGAGTATTCGATATGCCAGACACAGTAACAACAAAGTCTCCAATGGAGACGTTACTGGGCCCGCTCGAGCAAATCGACGATAACGGGAGGGCCTTTACCTTACCTTTTTAAAGCCAGAGGATGGAAAATATATGTAACACATGTCACTGTCACTGTCCTCCTGTTGTTCATCGATTTGCTCGAGCAGGCCCAGTAAAGTCTCCACTGGAGACTTTGTTGTTACTGTGCTTGGCATATCGAATACATCACGGGGAGCTTGCCAGGCTCTGCTGTGCGGGCGAGATACTCTCGTAGCTGGCCGGGCTCTCCTAGAGGGGTGGAGGAATCGAACTCAGGTCGGCCATGTTGGCTGCATGCAAGGCAAACGCCCTACCACTGTGCTATCTCTCCAGCCCCATGTAACACATGTAGCCAATAATATTTGAGATTTCCATCAAATCAATGCCAGATAAACCAAATAAATAGATGACATTTATACAATCAACTATAATAATATATAAAGTATATAATCAAATGTTTATGACACAATACACAAAAACTATGACTGCATGTAAATGACATGGATAAATCTAACAGGTTTAATCTTGTATGAAAAGCGTGGTATTCTGGAATGCATAAGGATGCATTCACTTGTAAGTTTTTATAACGTAAGAAGAACTAATAATACTATAAGAATGCAGATACGTCGTGTAAAACATAAAATCATAAAAAAAGGAAATCATCACAAAAATGAAAAAAATAGTTCCCCTCAACAGCAAAGAAGAGGTTATGCCTCAGAGGGATAGAAGTCGGCTTCGAAGGAACTGACAATGTTCTAGTCCTCCACTTGGCATAGGCTACAAGAGTTTTACTTTATAATTTATAGGTTTTATACACCCTTCTGAAAGTACATTGCAAAAAAGAAGTATACTTCCACAACCACCTCTAAATTTAGCATGAAGAGAGCTCATACATTCCCTCAAATTCATAAACCTTGCATGAAAACAAACATGTTTATGGCATTAAGTTATATGAAATGGAGGAAAAAGAAAAGCTTTAGGTTTTAAGGTGATATAGAAAAGAGGAAGCAAATAGAAAAGGTAAAAGATTAGAAAGTTGTTAGGTGGGAGAAACATTAAGCCTCTGGGCTAGTTTATATTCTCTGGTTTGAAGAGAGAAAGCATTCTACACAACTGAAACTAACAAATGCCCAAGCTTGGTAAGGAATGTGATGTGTTTGAAATACACTGTTTCTGAAGAGAAAGGAGAGTCCGAACCAGAATGTAAGCTATTAAACAATTTATCCCCAAAGACAGACTGGCTGTAATAGAAATTTCATCCCATCTACACACTTCATAGTTCTGTCCTTCACCCTTGAATAGAAAAAGAGCCTATTAAATGGTTAGAAATTGCACACATTGGTTGATAAGTGGGGGAAAAAAATACATACAATGTCAAGTCTCAGCAAAATATTATCACAGAACATAGAAAGGCTTCTGTCTGTCTTGGGAAATTAAGGACTGGTTAGGGCCGAAAAGTTACAAAATGTCATTTCGCCCCATTTTGGGATATTGATTATACATATTGCAACTAAACCATAAATACTGATCTGAATCCCACCTTATCTGAACTCCAAAATAGCTCCTAACAATGAAATTTCTTGTTCGAGTGAGTGAATCTGTCATGATTACAGGAACCCAAAGTGAAGGCACTTTTTAAGTCAGGATCTCAAGAAGTAAACTTAGTAACTTTTTTTTTTTCATTGTATTCTTGCCAACACTATCTCACACCTGGCCATTACTCATGATTTCACTAGGTCTGGACTTACACTGAGCAAAACTATCAATTATTTTCAAGATACTTGGTTGGTGTTTGTGTAGATAGTCAACAGCCATACAGTATACTGAAGAAAAATCCTAAAAATGAATGTAAGAATGTGCCGGGAGGGGTTGGGGGTCACATTAGAACTTCTCAACAGATATTCCTGATTCTGTGCTTAGGCAGTGCTGGGGGACCAAATCCATTTACCCAGGAAAAAAGGTTGGTTGTGAGTTTTTTTGTTTTGTTTTGGGGGGGTTATTTTACTTGTATGGTTTCGAGATTCTACCAACGGCGTCAATTATTCTTGTTCTCCTCAAATTCCTCCGTTTCACCCCATTTTTAAACCTTTCGCCCACACCCTGCGAGAGCGAGTACACACAGACGCGCGAGCGCACACACACTATTCACTATCTTAGTTCCCAACTTTCTCTTGGTGGCTCAGCGAACCACACCGAAGCGCATGATAGAATGTTCGCTCTATTCCACTCGCTGGAAAGGCCCTTACAGTTCTCATCGAATCTTCCTCCTCGCTTCTCACTTGCTCTAGTTTCTTTCTTCCCTCTTTGTTTTCTAATAACCGGCCCGGCCAGTTGGAACCAAAGAGCAACTAATTTCCCCTCCTCTGCGTTTCTCGGCCAAGCTGACCCCGGAAGTGGAGGGGGCGTGGATCTCCCACTTGCTGGCTGGGCCCAACTATTGATCCGTGCTGCTTTCGTGCACACCCCAAATGGAAGACTTTGGGACACTGTAAGGCCCAGAAATGAGGCTCGATCCAAAAGAACTGTTTGCTTGCTTCCTTCTTGCCTTCCCCTCCCTCCCTCCCTTCCTTCCTTCCTTCCTTCCTTCCTTCCTTCCTTCCTTCCTTCCTTCTTTCCTTCCTTCCTTCCTTCCTTCCTTCCCTCCCTCCCTCCCTCCCTCCCTTTCCTTCTCTCTCTCTCTCTCTCTCTCTCTCTCTCTCTCTCTCTCTCTCTCTCTCTCTCTCTCCTTTCTCTTTCTGGGGATGCTCTACTGTGGGAATTAGTGGTTGGGGAGAACGACTGTCACGCACAGCAGCAGGTCCTACAGAAAACTGGTGCGCCCTAGCGGTGGGGGAAGAAGGGGGCGAGTCCGAAGTTTCGGAGACACCCCAAAAATAATCTAGACGCCCGGCACGTGGTTTGACCCGGGGCCGCAGAACCGCCCAGGCCCTCGGGCAGGGTCGTGCTCCGCTTCGACGGCCGGTCCCCGCGAACTCCCCGGTGGCCGGTGACTCATCCCGAGCTGAGGCCGGCTGCAGGCCCGGGCTGCGCGCCCCCGGCGGCTCGGACCCGGGATGCTCGCGGCCCCGCCGCGCGCGTCCCTGGGCTCGGGCCCAAAAGCGAGGCTGGGCAACGCCAAAGCCACACGCCCTCTCTCCGCCCCCTCCAGGTCCCTCCGGCCTCCGTGCGCCCGGCGCCAACGCTGCCCTCCTCGGCGCGTCCCCGTCGCCCCTTACCTGCGGCCGAGTGGCCCGAGAGCGCCCGGCCCCGGGAGCGCCGCGGACCCCCGAGCTCCCGCCGCTCGCGCAGTTCCTCCTCTTCGTCCTCCCGCCGCCGGCCCTCGGCCATGGGCGAGCCGCGCTGGCCCACGCCCGGCTCCCTCGGGCTCCGCCGGCGGCCGCGGCCGAGTCCACCTGCAGCGGCGGCGCGGGCCGAGCCGGGTCCCGCCTCCTCGCGGGCGCCCCGGCGGCGGCGGCGGCGGCTGCGGCCGCGGCCTCCTGCTCGCGCTCCCCGCGCCCCGGCTCTGCCCGGGCCGCGTCCCCTTCCCCGCCCCGCACGGTGGCGGCCGGCCGGGCCTCGCCTTCTCGGGGAGGGGTTCCGGGCCCCGGGGCCGCCCGCCCCGAGCCGACGTGAGCGAACTCCGCAAAACGGGCTAGGAAGGGGGGAGCGAGGAGGTGGCCTGGCCTCTTCCTGCCCTTTCACAATATTCCGGTGTCAACAGGAAACCCATTTGCTTGACACTTAAACAAAAGGAGCGGGAGGAGGGACCTGCGCCGGCCGGGCCCGGGAGATGGGACAGCTGGGAGCCGCGGCACTGGGAAGCCAAACTTGCCCTGGCCGGGGGCCAGCTCTGCTGTTTTCCCTTTTTCTCTCTTCTCCCCTGCTTCAAAGCCAGCGCTGTCCGGACTGCTGGGACTTCAGGGACAGGGAGGCGACTCTGCCTGATTCTCTGCGGCTGGATGCATGTCTTTAGACGTGTGTCCGAACCCGCAGAAAGAACAACTGCAAGAGGGAAAGAGGGAGCCCTAAGGTACCCTGCAGAGTTTGGGCGATTATGATGTGCCAGTGCCAATGTAGGGTCCACAGTTGTAACGTAAAGACCACCGGCCGTGGGGAGCGTGTGTGTGATTGTGCGTGTGTGTGTGTGTGTGTGTGTGTGTTGCTGGTGTTGGGCCTGGGGAAGGTATAGGAGGGGCGTGGACCCTCCTATAGACCCTGTAGGCTTAGAAGACCTCTGGGCTTGAGCCCAGTTTTGCTGTGAACCTAAAAGTGCTCTTTCGTGGTGGTGGTGGGGGGAGGGGGGTTGAGTTCGGGGTTGGGGCCACACCCAGTGGTGTCACGGTGCAAGGTAAGCTGTACACCTGACTCGCTGTACTATGGCTCTCCCACCCACCCCCCCCCAAGCCCTCTTTAATCAAAAGTCTAATGTAGTGGGGAAGAGACAGTATGAGAGATAAGGGCGTGTCTTGCCTGCAGCTGTCAGGACCTGGGTTCTAATCCCCACACTTACACATCATCCACACACACACACACACACACACACGCCTCAAGCTTCATCCATGAGTACTGTTGGGTGCTCTTTAAATAAAGCCTTAATTTAGAATTAGAAAGTGAATCCCACCCTCCTTGAAGTCCAGGAAGAACATGTATTTCAGGACCCCACACCAAATTCTAGAGAGATGACTTGGCGAAAGGTCAGGAGCTCTGGCTATGGCAACGGGAAGCTGAAATCTAAAGCAGTTTCTAGTGCAAGAACCTCTCCTGTGAAAATTTCCCAAGCCGAGGAGAAAGGTATAAGAGAGTTACCGCGTACGTGAGGAGCACACGCACACACACACACACACACACTCACACACACTCACACACACTCACACACACACACACACACCCCTTCATAACAGAAAAGATCCTAGAATCTCAGAAAAGGTAATGAACACAGAAGGTAGGAAGATTGCCTGGACTTGACCTGTAGAGAACTCCCTTGGGGAATGAACAGAACTTATCTTCCAAACTCTTGCTCTCTGAGAGATTGTGAGAGCACCTTAATGTTCGCATCGAAGAGAGAACAAGAAGGAGAAAGGACCGCTGAAAAGAGAAATGGCCACCATGCCTGAGCATGGTTTTCTTGCCTTTTCAGTAGTGATGGTTGGGGCTCCAGGAAAATCCTTCTGCCATTCATCTGATAAGAGAGTCACAATCAATTTTGTGGAATTGAGTTCAGATCTGAAATCCCCAAGTTAGCACTTCAGTACTAGAGAATCAGTTAAATGAGTAGATATTTGGACTATTTGAAATTAACTTGAAGGAAAGGAGATACTCAGGAGAATTTAGTCCTGGGAAACTGAAAGCAGATTAGGGGTTGCAGGGATAGAGAACAAGGAATCACAGGATTTTTTTTTTCATCCTGTGCCCATACACACCTTATCGCCCTCCCAACCATCACCATCTTCTCTTTGGGTATTTTTAATTCCATTGTCAATGTCCTTTGATTTGTCTTCCCCCCCACCTTTGTAGCCAATTTATTAAAGTTCAGGTAGCACAGCGGTAGGGCGTTTGCCTTGCATGCAGCCAACATGGCCGACCCGAGTTCGATTCCTCCGCCCCTCTCGAAGAGCCTGGCAAGCTACCGAAAGTATCTCGCCCGCACGGCAGAGCCTGGCAAGCTACTCGTGACGTATTCGATATGCCAGACACAGTAACAACAAAGTCTCCAATGGAGACGTTACTGGGCTCGCTCGAGCAAATCGATGAACAACGGGAGGACAGTGATACAGTGATACAGTGAATTTATTAAAGTTCAGGTAATATATTTGTGATGGTGTTGACATCTATCGTTCTGGTCTTTACCGTTGTCTCACCTCACCGCTACCAAAGTGTCCAGGATCACCCACTTTGTCTCTGTCTCTTTTTTTTTTTCTTGGAGGGGAGTGAAATAGAGGAGGGGGAGATGTTTATTTATTTATTTATTCCTTTTTTTGGATCACACCCGGCGATGCACAGGGGTTACTCCTGGCTCTGCACTCAGAAGTTACTCCTGGCAGTGCTCAGGGGACCATATGGGATCCTGGGAATCGTACCTGGGTGGCCGCGTGCAAGGCAAACGCCCTACCCGCTGTGCTATCTCTCCAGCCCAAGGAGGGCGAGATATTTAGACCACATCTAGTGGTTCTCAGGGACTTCTGTCTAGGTTGCTCCCTGGCAATGCTCATGTACAAAGCATGCACACTAGCCCTTCGGATTGTCTCTTCAACCCTACGATTGTTTGTGAAATGATGAAAATGCTATAAAATCAGGGAGTTGCAATGTTTGGACCACTGTTAATATACTAAGATTAAATCTATGGCATGTAAAATAGATCTCAGTAGAACTATTTAAAAACAAAACAAAAAAGAAGAGCAAAAACAAAACTATAACCCACTCACCAAAAAAGAAGAAAGCAAGTCAGGGAGGAACTAGACTGCGAGGGAACAGAGCGATAGTACAGCCTTGCATGCAACTGACCTGAATTCAATTCCTGTCATCCCATATGGTCCACAAGGCCCATCAGGAGAACGTGCAGAGCCAGGAGTAAGTCCTAAGCACCACTGAGTGTGACCCAAAAACCAAAACACACACACACACACACACACACACACAAGAAACTGCACTATGAAATCATCAAATAGAAGTAGAGAAACTAGATAGGAATTACAAATAATAATTTAATCATATGAAAGAAAACCAAAGGTGTGGCCAACTCACAGCTAAATAAATCTGCCAAAACCTCCTACCCACCCCAAGTGATGCAAGAGCCAAGTCCATAGAAGGAAATGTTTAGAAACTTGGAATGAAAATAGATTCACCACCATAGAGAGGGCGAGGCTTTTGCCTTGCATGTGGTTGACCTCGGTTCAAATCTCTGAGTCTGTGTTCACTGGAGCAACATCAGGAGTGATTCCCGAGTAGAAAGTCAGGAGTAAGCTCTAAGCACTGCCTAGAGAGAAAGGAGGAAAGGAAAAAAGGGAGGGAGGGAAGAAGGAAGAAAGGAAAGAAGGAAGTTGACTCAGAGTAGAAGAAGAGTTGGGCTCAGTTATTCTTATTCTTGTTATAGTAAGAGTATACTGTATAAATACAGACTGGGAAATAGAAGGCACACTAAATATTTGTTTAAAGACTGAATGAATTTAATTCCAGTTTTCCCTGCTGCATCACCAGAGGCGTGAATGTCTAATCATTTAAGTCAAATAAAAATTATTTTAAAATTGAAAATGTATAGCCAGATCAGAGAGAATTCAACGATGCTGTGTGCAGGAGGCCCAGGTCTGGCCCCTGGTAGTGCCTGGTTTCCCTAGGAGGCTGCCAGGAGTGAACCCTGAGCACCAAGATGGCAGTAGTCCCCTTAGCAGTTCTGGGTGTGGCCCCCAAAGCAAAATTAAATGAACAATAAAACATATAGCTGAAGATGTAAGAAGACAAAAAGTTGGGTTAAGGTATAGCTCAGAGGTTCAGATGCTTGCATATATCCAGTGAGTACTGCCAGGTAGGGTCCCAAAACAAAACAAATAAGACAAGCAAGGATTGACAGGGATACTACTTGTTTTTTCCTAAAGTCTGGTATTTCATGGGACCAGAGCAATAGTACAGTGTGTAGGGCAGTTGCCTTGCACACAGCTGACCCAAGTTTAATCCTTAGTATTCCCTTGCACCACTGGGTGTGACCTGAAACAAACTGTAGTACTTCAGAGCTTTTTTTTTTGTTTTTTCTTCTTCTTTTTTGCTTCTTGGGTAACACTTGGTGATGCTCAGGAGTTACTCCTGGTTCTGCACTCAGGAATTACTTCAGGTGGTGCTCAGGTGACCGTATGGGATGCCGGAGATCGAACCCAGTTTGTCTGCATGCAAGGCAAACAAACACCCTACCCACTGTACTATCACTCTGGTCTCCCCGAGGTTTTTTTCTTCTTTAGATAAAATATATATAGGGCTGGAGAATTTCTTTGTATGCAGTCAACTCAGATTTAATCCCTGGCATCACATATGGTCCCCCAAGTACCTCCAGGAGTGATCTCTGAGCATAAATCCAGGAACAAACCTGAACACAGCTGAAGGGGGCTCGAAAACTTAAATAAATCAAATAAGCACTGTAGCACTGTCCTCCCATTGTTCATCGATTTGTTGAGCGGGCACCAGTAACATCTCCATTGTGAGACTTGTTGTTACTTTGTTTGGCATATTGAATATGTCATGGGGAGCTTGCCAGGCTTTGCCTTTGGGCGAGATACTCTCAGTAGCTTGCTGGGCTCTCCGAGTTGGGGCAGAGGAATTGAACCCAGCTCAGCCAGGCTGGCTTCACGCAAGTCAAACGCCCTACCGCTGTGCTATCGCTCTAGCCAATCAAGTAAGATATCTAAACCAAATATGGCAATTTGAAGATTTCTTAAAATAGGATGGTGGACTTCAGATGTTTATTATCTTCCCTTCTTTTTAATTAATTT